GGGATATTGGGAAGGAATTGTTCCCTGGGAGGGTGGGCAGGCCCTGGCACAGGGTGCCCAGAGAAGCTGTGGCTGCCCCTGGATCCCTGGCAGTGTCCAAGGCCAGGCTGGACAGGGCTTGGAGCAGCCTGGGACAGTGGAAGGTGTCCCTGGACATGGCAGGGGTGGAATGGGATGAGATTTGAGGTCCCTTCCAACCCAAACCATTCAATCCTTTCCCTCTCTCTGGGTGGGATGCAAGCAGTGCCTGGCACAGGTGCATCTCACCACTCTGTGAAAGGCTGACTGCTTTTCCCAAAGCTCAGCTTTTGTCCCTGGCACACCCAGGCTTGCTGGAGTCAGCCCCAGCCCTCCCAGCCAGTTTAACACCAAGTGCTCAGAGCAGCAACACCGTGGACTGAGCTGTCACTGTCACACACAGGGGTGGCAGCACAGGAGGGACTGTCCACCATGTACACCAGGAGCTCCAGCCACAGCCCCTCTGCTGGGAAAACAGCATGGGCAGAATGACCTGGGACTGATTTATTTGGGCCTGGACCTCAGGACCTGGGGTCAGGTCTGGGCCCTCACAAGAGAGATCTGGAGGGGCTGGAGCGTGTCCAGGGAAGGGACCAGAGCTGGGGAAGGGGCTGGAGCACCAGGAGAGGCTGAGGGAGCTGGGAAAGGGGCTCAGCCTGGAGAAAAGGAGGCTCAGGGGGAACCTTCTGGCTCTGCACAACTCCTTGACAGGAGGGGACAGCCAGGGAACAGGGACAGGATGAGAGGGAATGGCCCCAAGTAGTGCCATGGGGGGTCAGGTTGGACATCAAGAGGAATTTTTTCATGGAAAAGGTGGTCAGGCCTTGGAAAGGACTGCTCAGAGCAGTGGTGGAGTCCCCAGCCCTTGAGGTGTCCAAGGAACAGCTGGACATGGCTCTCAGTGCTCTGGGCTGGGACATCAGTCACAGGCTGGACTGGACCTTGAAGATCTTTCCCACCTCAGTGATGCTGTGAGTCTGTGCTTCTGTCCCACACTGCTGGGACCCTTGCAGAGGAGCAGTGCCCTGCCCTATCCTTGCTGCTGCTTGTGTGAGCCCTGCTCACTCAACAGCCCCTGCTCCTGGGATGCTGGGCTTGCATCTCGTGTGGAGACACAATGAATTTAGTATTTTATCATGGCAGGTCTCAGAGGTGCAGCACAAACTGGCTCCTCCCAGAAATAAACCTGACAGACTAGGCTGATATCTGTGCAAGGCAGAGAAACAAGGAACTATTGTAACTTTCAGGCTGAGAATGAATAAACAATAATTATGACTATGCAATAAAATTATCCTCATTAGCTGAAGGTGAGCACAGACGAAAATCAGATTTAAGCATCACCTAAACCTGGTGAGTCCAGCTCCAAATCTGAATTCTCTGCTTTAAGCCCTGGCATTACTGCTGCTCTCTGCAGCCCAGCTGATGCGACAGGCCCAAAACATGCATCTGATACACGCCAGAGACTGAGTGCCATGAAAAGCACAGGTAATTTGGGCCTATAATTAACTCCAGGGACAAATAATAGCGTTTATGACTCAAATTCACCCGAGGGCAACCACAACAAAATGCTACTCAGCTGAGTCATTGGGAAAATTGGCAGGAGGGCTGGATCCAAACCCAGAGCCATGACGTTCCCTCCTCCAGTGTGCCTCGAGTGCTCTGGGTGAGGTGGGATCTGAAAAGAAACTGAATTTTCTCTGCCCCGTGTCCTCCTCAGCTCTCAGGAGCTGCTTTGCTGGGCAGGGAGAAGGTGGAAGCTGCCCCCAGCTCATGGCATGGCACCTCCACAGGCATCACCCTAGAGCTGATGCCCTTTTCCACCCAGCTGGCTGCTCACCCACGCTCAAGGACAGACTTAAAAGATAACAGGGCATCAATAAAAGACAGAACTAAGTGGAAAAACAAGTGGAGAGCAGAAAAATCCTTCCCCATGTTCCCACAGCCCTTAATCCTGGAGATATGTATTCATGTATTAAACAGTTTGTGAGATGATTATGTAAGTGAAATCTCCGCAAATCTTTTGGAAAAAAAAAATAAATAAACTGATTACTTCCCCCCTCTCCCTCTGGCTAACCTTTTGCAGATTTAACAGATAACCAACAGTGAACGGAGGCCAAATAAATTGCTTAAAGTTTCATTGCCCTGCCTGCCTGGCCCGGCTCCCTGCAGGGGACTCGGGACTGCCGACAGCAGGGGGGACTGGAGCCACGGCTGTGTGTGCTTCGGGAAACATCTGCTGCAATTTGGGATATTAGGAACCACATCGAGTCATGAACAGCTTGAAACATATCAGGGTGGAGGCAGAAAACCTGCACTGGGGGCTTTGGCTGAGAAATGAAGTGTTTCCTGCTGCCGCTGGACACAGGATCCCAGCTGAGCTGTGGGATCCCATCCCTCCGGCTGGCAAAGGCTGAGATGCCCACGGGCACTTTGCCCCACCAAGGGGACTGCTGTGATCCAAAACTGCATCCTGAGCATCCCTGCTTGGACTAAGGGATCTCTGGTGACCTACTTGCTTCACCCAGCCCTTCCTCAGAGCTGCTGAAGGACTTGCACTTAGTGTAATAATAGGAGATGCTATTTCCCCTGGAAGAAGGTGGCTAAAAGCAGCCAGTCATTAATAGCAAATAATTCTTCCAGCAGTGTATTGCTGTGTCAGAATTAGTCCCAGCCTGTCATTACAGCACTCTCACTGCTCTGCCAGGGCAGGAACGCTGCACAGCAGCTGATGGATAAGGAATGAGTGCATCCATCATCTCCCACACTAACGGGATGTGGGTGCACTGAGCAAGGGACTCTGTCCTTCAGCCACCCACGGGCAGAGCAAAGCCCCAGCACAGGAACCTGCCTGCCCACAGCCACACCCTGCCAAATCCCACCCTCCTCCCTCTGCTTCCTGCAGCACGTCAGCTTTCCCAACCCCTGCTCCTATCAAGGGAGAGGATGTGTCAGCACATTGTGCCAGATCTCCCGTGGGAGCAAAGACCCCACTAATCCATACCATGGTTCCCACAGCTCTGCCCTCTCTCATGGCACCATCATTGTCCCACACAGCTAAAATCCAGTCAAGACAAGCCTGAACTCTTTCCTTCTCCTTCCAAACCCTCTGAGTCCCTCCAGAGACAGCAAGGTGTTCCAGGGAGCAACAAGGGGACAGGTTTCAGGGAGAAACTTCTCATCCTCCCTGAGAAGGAGGAAACCTCTAGGGAAGGAAGACCTTAAGTCAATGTGTCCACCCTGGAAGGAAAGGGAAGATCCTGCTGTGCCTGTGCATCTTCATCCAGAGCTCTGTGCAGGATGTGCTAAAACACCACACAGCAGAGCAGAGGGAGCAGTGCCACCCTACAGCCAAGACTGGAGCAGCCCTGGTCCTTCCAGGGGAAACACCTCTGGAAATCTGCTCAGTGGTGGGATGTCCCACAGACCTGGCACAGGCAGGGCTGGAGCTGGGAGCCACCAGCTTTGGGATGTCCCACAGACCCCACACAGGCGGGGCTGGAGCTTTGCTTCCCTTCCATTACAGCTCCATTGAATTCCCACAGTTATCAAAGACCCGTGGCCACCTCTGCCTTCCCCGTGGGTTTGAGCCTGGTTTGGCCCAAGGCTCTCCAGCTGTGGTGCCCAGGAGTGTCACAATCCCCTTCCCAGAGTGCCATGTCCCCCCTGACCTGGCGTCGTCATCGCGGGCTATCAGAAGGCGCATGTGGCTGGTGGCTGACGCCGTCCTCAGGATGTCCACGGCCCTGGAACACAAGGACCACGACACATCAACCCCAGCTCCCAGTGATGCTCCACTGCTCTCACCCTGCTTGTCTCAAAGCTGGGCAGACCCTGGCAGCAGCCAAGGCTTTGCTGGATGTTTGTGGAGCAGCCCTGGCAGTGAGGCCGAGGGCAGCCAAGCCTTGTCCTGGTTTTCCCCCTTCTGCAGTAAGTGAGAAGTCCCTGATAGCAAAACCCAGAAGATGCCTGTGGTGGTGAGCAAATCCTCCTGCACAGCCCATGGCAGGGCACTGGAATGAGGTGATCTTTAACATCCCTCCAACCCACACCATTCCATGATTCTGTAATTCCCAACCTGGGGAAGTTTCCATCCCAGGGACAGCCATTTTCTGGGTCAAAATACAAGTACCCCTGGCAGCCAGGGCAGTTGCTGGGAGCCAGGCACAGCCTCCAACAGCCACAGAGATGTTCTCATGGACATCCCCAAACCCAGCTGCTGTGGGGCTTTGGCAGCAGGACCAGCTCCTCGTGCTGCTTCCCATCCAGGCTCGGCACCCCTTGCAGGAATGCAAGGCAGGTAATAGGATAGCACCGAATTAAATGGGAAAGGAGAGCCCCCAGAGTGCTGGTGCTCCTGTGGAGCTGTTAATTATTCTCTTGGTGGGGAGCTGAGGGGCTGGATTGCAGCTCCAGAAGAGGAGCAGCACTGTCAGGCTCAGGCACCAGCTGATCTCCTGTGCTGGGATCTACTGTGCAGGATGTGCTGGGAAGCTGCAGCAGATGGAGTGGAGGTGCCAGGAGCTGTTCAAAACCCAGCATTTCAGGGAAATGTCTGAGTATCTCAGACACAATTTGGGCTCACTGGTCTATTTTTATATTGAATCTTTCTGTCTGATAATTTCTGAGCTGCTTCTTGGGAACAGCACACAGAGTGATGCCCTGGTGTCCTCCACACAAGCCACAGCCTAAGCCACTTCACAGAATCACACAAAAGCAGCAGGAATGGAACATTTCCATTTGGATATGGTACCTCTCGCTTGTGACCCCAATTAGGGAATCGCCATTGACCTCCAGGATCTGGTCTCCTGGCTGCAGGCGCCCTAGAAAAGAAAACTAATGGATAGAAACTGTGGAAAATACAGCTTGAAGGGACTGGGAGAGGCTGGGCAGTTCCTCCCTGTGCCCAGAGACAGGATGAAAAATGCATTGGTTGTTCCCGAGATGCTCGTCCAACCTGTTTTTCCAGATGTCCATAAATGAAGTTTCTGCAACCTCCCGGAACAAACCTGTGCCAAAGTCCCAGCACTTCCTCTGCTCGAGGAAGTTGCAAAAGTAAATACTGAAAACTGCAATAAAGCTTTTGCTTAATTCACTTTGAGGTCAAGCAGTTCAGCTCGAGGTCAGGGAGAAAACCACGAGAGGCACTTCCACCTGTTCTGGATTTACTTTCCTTTATTGGATGGAAAAATGATGTAACAGCTGGGGGAAAAAAAATCTTTTTAGCTGAAGTTGTAAAAGGTGAGCTCTGCAGACCCCTAATACCTACTTAGTTGAACATATTCAGAATGAAATCAATGACCCAGAGCAGAGCTGAGTTTGCAAAAGGATCTCTGGTCATTTTGGGACCACAGGGAGGTGGGAAAGGACAGGAAGGTTTTTGTGTGGCAGAGATGAGTCGTGCTCTACACACACAAAACAATTGTACAGATGCTGAGGAGCCAGTCCAAGGCTGCTGTCACCATTAGAACTACCCCACTAAAAAGTACCCCCAACCACTGGAAAATCTCCAAGCAAGCACCCAAAATATCTAATAAGGGATGAAAAAAAGTGTGAAATAAATTCCCTGGATCTGGGCTGGTCTCAGACCTCATGGCATTCTGCCCTGTGTTTCACTCACCGTCTGCATAAGCAACACCCCCTGGAAGGATCCTCTTGACATAAACTCCATATTCCTCTCCAGTGAGCTCCTTGATGCCTCCAATGACCTTAATGCCTGCAGGGAAAACACAGCCCATGTCACAATGGCAGGAGAGTCAGAGCTTGCACAGGCCATGTCTGAGGGATGCAGCCCCAACCCAAAATTCACAGAATCCTAGAATGGTTTGGGTGGGAAGGGACCTTAAAGTTTATTCCATTCCACCCCTGCCATGGGCAGGGACACCTCCCACTGTCCCAGGCTGCTCCAAGCCCTGTCCAGCCTGGCCTTGGGCACTGCCAGGGATCCAGGGGCAGCCACAGCTTCTCTGGGCACCCTGTGCCAGGGCCTGCCGACCCTCCCAGGGAACAATTCCTTCCCAATGTCCCACCTAACCCTGCCCTCTGGCAGTGGGAAGCCATTCCCTGTGTCCTGTCCCTCCATCCCTTGTCCCCAGTCCCTCTCCAGCTCTCCTGGAGCCCCTTTAGGCCCTGAAAGGGGCTCTGAGGTGTCCCTGGAGCCTTCTCTTCTCCAGGTGAGCACCCCCAGCTCTCCCAGCCTGGCTCCAGAGGGGCTCCAGTCCTTGGGGCATCTCCATGGGCTCCCCTGGAGTTGCTCCAGCAGCTCCAAGTTCATCCCTGATGGGAAAGGATCTGCTCCTGCCGCAGATCAAAACACTCCTGGTGACAGTGTTTCCCACAGGAGATTCCTTCCCTGTGCACATCTGGACAAGCTCCAGTGTCCCACAGTGCTGGGGACATCTCTGCTCCCCTGCCAGACCCCCCAGCCTTGACACAGCCACCGATGGCAGAGCCACACTCCAGGAGTGGCCACTTTTGTCAGAGCTGGGCCTGGGGGGAGCAGCTGAGGCAGGACAGGGAGGTGACCCCTGGTTTGTCTCTGAGCCACCCCCATTGACCAGCACACCCAGCAGCCCCTTGGCACAGGGACAGCCCCTCACAGCCACCCCTCTGGCCACGGGGCTGTCCCTGTGGCCAGTGTAAGCTGGCTGGCAGGAAAAGGTCCGAGAGACTTATTTATCCAGGGCTTGTTAAGTCCTACTTCGAAGATCCAGGCTGTGGACAGAAGGATTAAAGAGCCTGGCTTTAATTAACAAATCTCTCCCCAGAGCTGCCAGTCAGGCATTTTGCTGCTCTGCACAGGAGGGCAGGCTGGGGACAGGCTGGGGACAGGCACTGAGGCCATGGCCAGTGCCAGGCCAGCTCTGTCCTGGCTGCTCTAAGCCCTGGAGGGGTCCTGGCTGCAGAAAACGCCTCCCTGCAGGAAACAGGGCACAGCTGCTTCCCCAAACGTGGGAAACCTTTCTGAACCAGGCAGGAGGGAAGAGGATCCTGGATGGGGATTACTCAGGACACAGCACCATTTCCATCCCTGTTTTCCTTCCTTTTGTAGCCCAAGCTCTGCTCTCAGGCCCCACACAGTTTTCATCATTTCTCAAGTCACTTTCATATTAAATTAGATTAAAACTAAATTATTACATTTTTCCCAGTTCATTTCTTTATGCACCAATTGCTGCTTTTCCCAAGCTCCAAATCCCAGCCCTGTCTGAGTGCTGGAGTTTATTCCCTGGGCTTAATGCATTAACCAGGCACTTGTGAGGAGCTGTTTTACTGCTGGAACAGGGAACTCAGAGCAGAACACCTCAGGAATGGGCCCTAATATTTTCTCCATTGCATTATGAAAGAAATTCACTCGAATTGGAAATATTGCCCAAGAAAAATATCTCTAAGCAGCACAGCCTCACCCAGGTGTGGGTCAGGTCAGGCACCTGGGCACTAAAGTGGGGAGGAGATGCTGCAGCTGTGGGCCCATGGTAAAACCTGCTCATGCCAGGGATGTTCAGCTGGAAATTTCCCTGCTCCCTCTGGAGCCAGGGGATCCCTCTGCTGGGCTCTGCAGAGACACCCCAGGGAACAAGGGCACCCCAGGACGGGCTTGAGAAACCTTGGCATGAGGGGTCCTGCAAAGCCCCATGGGTTCCCCTGCATGGGGAGGAGACTGGAAGTCCTTCCAAGGCAAGGGGATGACTCAGGAGCTCATCCTCCATCTTCCTTCACACCGTAACACAAAGGACTTAGGAACGATGAAGCACATCAGACAAATAATAAAAAATCTGCACCTTGCAGAGGCTCAGCTGCAGCATCCCCCAGCAGCCCAGCGTGGGACAGGCACCCGTGCCGAGGTATCAAACCAATAACGACTCATTTCCCTTTTGTGTCTGCAAATCAATTGTAATAATGCCTTAACATGGCTGAAGGATCTCCAAATCCTCCTTTATCCCCGACGATGTCATGAGAAAATCCGATCTTGTTATTAAAATCGGTGATTACTCACAGTATTGCTCCAGACACACTCAAACTTGGATGGGGGGAGGAAACATCTCTGAGTCTTAACTCCCGTGTTGGGAAAGCAGTTGGATGCTGCTGAGCTCTGCCCACTACTCACACCCATCACCTCACCAAGAAGGTGCTCTGGGTGCCAGTCCTGCCCCCCAAAATCCACTGGAGAGTCCCCACAAGGGCAGGGAGGAGGAGGAGGGAGGGCTCACCCCTTCCAGGGCTCAGACCACACCAGAGGACAGCAGGTGACCGATGGCAGCAAACCTGAATCGCCCAGGGCTGTGGTGGCACCATTCCTGGCATGATATTTTTTAACATATTTTATAAACATTTACTTCCATCAAATTTCTATTTGGGACCTAGTGTAGGTAAATTACGGCTCCTTAATTATCACCTCATCAAAGTCCCAGTATAATGCTTATTAAGTCATACTTAGGGCCAGATAATCTAGCCTATTTTGGATCCCTCTATTTAATCTTTCCTTTCTGGCAAAGGTCCTGCAGCTGATGCCCACGTCCCTGTTTTTTTCTCTTTTGCAGAACAAAGTTTGCAAGGAAAACTCCAGATGGGCTCAGAGGTAAGACTGGCCAAGCCTGTGTTTTCTTTAGGCTCTTAACCATCCTATAAATTTCTCCAAGACCCTCAAGCTTCTCTGGTGCCTCTAATCCCCCTCCCACTAATGCCAGAGTCGCAGTTCTCAGGCTATAATCTCACCTGCTCCTGGATCCGTGTCCCACAGGTCAGGGGGTGTCCTGGCTAATCTGGTTGTTTAGTCCAACTGGGATCATCCCGGGTGCATCCTGACCCCACTGGCTGCCAGGCCGGGCACAGAGAGGGGCCCAGCTCCGTGCCTAAGCTGGCAATGTTCAATTACATTTCCCTTAATCCCTCTGTTGATCTTGCAGCCCCCGCCAGCTTTTTCTGTCTGGAGGAAGGGACAGATTGCAGGTGAATCACTCGCTGCCCTGTCCTAAGCAGATGAAGGTCAAGATAATGGGATCTCAGTGTTTCTGAGAAATGCTCCTTAATCAGCACTTCCCTTTGATGGCTATTCTTTAATTCGAGGTTCAGGTTTGAGGAGCTGCCAGGTAACCCCTTTGAACTTCTGCTGAGGTTCACATGTGGGTTTCCACCGAAAGCCACAGAGCAACAGACCCGCGGCCAAACGCTGACCTGGCACCGAGCAGCGCTGCTGCTCTAGAGGAACTGCTGGAATAATGCCTGCAAACTGCCTGGGAAACTGCTGGGATAACACCTGATCCTACCTGAGAGACTGCTGGGATAACATCTGCATCCTGCCTGGAAAACTGTTGGGATAACACCTGATCCTACCTGGAAAACTGCTGGGATAATACCTGCATCCTGGGATAACACCTGCATCCAGCCTGAGAAACTCATGGAGACACTTTCTTTTCTCAAATAAACTTACTCTGAGCAGCTACACCTCTGGCAGACACAGGGGTTCTGTCAGCACCACTAATCAGAGAGGGATGATTAAGCTGCCAGAGGGCAGGGATGGATGGGATATTGGGAAGGAATTGTTCCCTGGGAGGGTGGGCAGGCCCTGGCACAGGGTGCCCAGAGAAGCTGTGGCTGCCCCTGGATCCCTGGCAGTGTCCAAGGCCAGGCTGGACAGGGCTTGGAGCAGCCTGGGATGGTGGGAGGTGTCCCTGCCCATGGCAGGGGGGTGCAGTGACATGAGCTTCAAGGTCCCTTCCAAGCCAAACCATTCCATGATTACTGGAGGATGATTACTTGTCCTGAGTGCTTCAGGCCTCACAGGAGAGGATGAAGCCAGCTGTTGATGGCACTAGGAAATCCACATTTTTGTAGCTTCCTCTGGTACATCTCAATTTGCTGTAGAAGTTCTGCTAGACCCTGCAAAGACCCTCTGGTCACAGACTGGGGGGAAAGGAGAGGAACTGGAATGCAGTGAGTGGCTCACAAAGGACTGCCACATCTGTCACATCTTCCAGAGGTCAGTGATGGCCCCATCAGGCTTTTCCTTTAATGAGCTAATCTAACCAGCACCTGAAATCCCATCAAGTCAACCAAATCTGCCTCTGGAGATTAAAATATCATATTCACCAAATAAAGACATTTCTCTGAGCTACTGTGAACCTCATGGCTGGGGGAAGAGTCAGCAAAGACATCCCCCCATGGCAGAAAATCCTGTTACCCCAGAGCTGGAAACAGACAATAATTAATCCATAATTAACCTCAGGGCTCAGGAAACCTGAACTTGTTTCTCTGGTGGCTCCTCAGGAGTTGTCCCAAATGGTCATTCAGGGGTCTCACCAAGAGCTCCCCAGCTGCTCTGTGGGAGGGTGGGCTGCACTCACAATTAAGGATTAGGGACAGACTGTGAAATCCTGATGCAGGATCACAGATATTTATAAAGTCCATGACAGAGCACCACTGAATACACAGAGCTCAGAAGAAATGCTGTGCTGGATCTCTCTGGGCTGAGTGTCCTGAACCTGGGACTTTCTCACATTCTAATGGATGTGAGCTTCTCTTTTCCCTTCTCTTCCATGCTTTGAAGTTCAGAGCTCTGTGGAAGGACACCTGACTCACTCAGTGCTCATTCCCTTCCCTGTGGGCCAAACTTTCCAAGCCAAGCTCATGCATCCCAGTCCCCAGGAGCTCTGCAGGAAACACCTTCCATCACCCATTGGGATGGCAGAGGGGCAGGGAAGTGCTGGGGGTTCTATTTATTTTTTTATTTAGCATTTAAATTGATTTAATCCAGAAAATTTTGACAGGCCCCTCCCCCTCATCCTGCTCAGGGGAGGGGTTGTGGCTCCTGCACAGCTCCCAGCAGCAGCTGCTCAGCATCTCCATGGAATTAGATGGGATTTTGACATTTCTTTAATGTCCCAGCTGCAAAAGGTGCAAAGGATGCTCGACACAGGCAGGTGCAAGACACGAGAGAAGCAGTGAGACACCAGACTTCACACAAGGAGGCACATCTTGACACAGCTCTGGGGACTGGGGGGACGTGTGAGGTGTCCCAGCCCACGCTGCTGTCCCTGCTACTCACCCAGCCCGTTTGCACACTCGTAGAAGTCGAAGGAATGCACGGTTCGATCCATCCCATATGGTCCCATGAGTGTCCTGGGGGAGACAAGAGGAGCAGCTTTCTGTCACGGGCCACAGAGGACAGAGGCACAGGTGGCCAGCCAGCACACACAGAGGCACATTGTCCCTTCCAGCCTGGACACTGCAGGCACCAGGGGAGGAACAGCCCCACCACTGCTCCCACACGGGCAAAGCCCAGCCCCCAGGCAGCCCCCCCGAGATTTACAGAGATAAATGAGAGAATATGTGCAGGGCTGAACATCATCCTCCCCACCCAGCAAATCTGATGGACCTGTCTGTGATTCATTACCCCAGATTATCGGGGCTGGACAGCTGTGCAGCTCCTGGGAAATGAGATCAGAGCTCGGAGCCGTGTTCTGGGAATAAAGCAGTTTCACAAACACAGGCAGCCTGTAATGAAGACAGCCAGACACAATCCACTCTCAAGGTTTTTAGCGGAGGCAGAGGGTCTAGAAAAGGGGATGCAAGAGCTGCTCCAAGTCCTGCTGCTCTGGTGGGAGCTTCTCATCACAAGCTAGAGCAGGTGGAAGAGCATCACACACCTGAGACTCCCCCGAGCCAAGTAACTCTCCAAAACATCCCAGAGTCTCCCCTAAACACCCATAGGCAAGGTCCCAAATGAATGACCCCAGAAACACCCTGCCACAACCACAGATGCCAGACTCCAAACTTGGGACCACCAGCATTTCTCCTTGGGCTCCTCAGGATGGATGAACCCTGATCTGAGAAACCCCGACCCAGATGTGCCAGGTGGGAAACCAGGGGTGAGGAGGTACCAAAACACTTCCCAGCATTTCAGTCACAAGAGAAAAGGCATTTCCCAATCGATATCAGCTCCCAGATCTGAACACAGATGAGGAGGAACAACACCGTGGGAAACAAGAAGCTACTCCAAATCCAGCGGGGTGCAGGATAAGAATAACCTGCAGGGACTTACCAGGAATCCAAAATAAAGCTCAAAATATCTAAAATATCAAACTGGCAAAGCCAGTAACTTCCACCTCCAAGATTTGGACTGGAAATGTTTTCTCCCTGTTAAAAAATGCCCCTCCTTGCTATCCTTGCACTGTACCGAAGACTGAGCAAACAACTGGCCACATCTGGCTATTGAAAAATGGAGCTCGAAGGCATCCCGGAAGGCAGAGCAGCCTTGGGCCCAGGCTGCTTCAACGCCCTTCCAGGATTTTCAGCGTATTTTGAGCAAACCGCTGAGGAAATTCCCGGGACGAGCCGCGGGCGCTCAGGGAGGGCTGGAGGCACCACACGGATGGAGTTACAGCCCAGCAAATACGATCAGCCCTTATCACCACCATCATCATCACCATCATCATCATCATCATCATCCTCCTGCGAGCAGCCCTTATCATCACCCGCACTCCGCCCCGCAGCCCCGAGCTCTGCCAATGCCACCAGCGCTGAAAACCCAACCAGCGACAGTGTCCTGGGCTCTCCCCGCAATCCCTGCTCCTGGGGAACCCACAGGGAAGAACCTTGGCTGGAAGTGCAAGACGCGGGACCCCCGGGCCCCTCCCCAGTCCCAGCCCAGCCGGGGGAGGTTGCTTACCTGCTGATGATGATGGCTCCCTTGTAAAGGACAGACACCGCGGGCATCTTACCGGCGGTGCCAGGCACCAGCCACTGGGATTTGGCAGGAATCCGTTAAAGTGATGGAGAAGGAAAAAAAATGGGAAAAAAAACCCCAAACCAACCCAGGGGGAGGTCGGAGGGCATCACGTGGTCTCCCCGTATGCATGTTAATTCCACCCAACATTAACACAGATCAGCTCCAAACATCTCCAACTTTAGATTAAAGCTTACGCAAGCCGGAGCCAGCGCCGCCCGTCCGAGCGCCTTCCCAAAGCCCCAGCAGGGCCGGCCCCATCCCCAGCACGGCACGGGAATTACTTGGAATGGCCCCTCCAGGGATGGAGGGCAGCGCTCGGTGTGGGACGTGTGCAGTCACCATCCCTAAAGGATTAAAATCCACAGCAAAGCTTTGGAAGCAGTAACAGACTGTGGCACTTAGGGGGTTTAGGGTTGATGTTGATTTTTTTTCTTTTAGCATCTTTTCCAGCCCACAGTATTTCCTTTTTAATGCAGAACAAGTTCAGCTGTCCCCCTGTCTGCTGGGAGGTCAGAAGCCTGATTTGCCTTTGAGCCTCTTCCATCCCTATCTTGGTGGCATCATCCAGCTGGAGAAACAGCAGGACCCCCGTCTTGTGGGATGGGGGATGAAAAAAAAGATTATCCAAGGTTTGCCAGGGGATGGGAATAGACCAGAACTGCCCACCCTGGAGCTTGGCAGGAGCAGGGCTGTGATCCTGGGGGAAAAGATCTGGTGACCTTTCCTGAGAAGGGAAACATCCTCCCCTGGACCTGCAGGAGGACACGAGTCCTGCATCCCAACCAGCTCTGGAGGACATCTGAGGTCACAGGGAAGCTCCTGGCCCTGACTCCAGCACTGGTGTCCTCCTCGTGCTGTTCCCACGGTGTCTCCACAGGCTCCTGGCCAGGCCCCATTAGTGGCCCTTGGCCTCGTTAGCAGAGCAGTGGCTGCAGCGCTGTGGACGTGCCTGCCTGGCACTGCCACTCCTTGCCAAACCATTCCTTGAGCCCAAGCTGCTGGGTATTGCTGTTCCCATGTGTGAACAACTGATTTTACCAGCTGGAGCTTCCCCTATGGCCTCTATGGGCAGGTGCAAGGTGCTTCAGAACAATGACAAATTGGAAAAGTCCTCCTGCATTTTTTTTTAAAATTGCTTTCATTTGAGGACATTCACATGACATATAAAATCTGAGTAGTTTTGTCTTCAGATGGCCAAAACTTTCCTAAAATTTAAATTATCTAGCTAAAAAAACGAAAATTGGGGTAAGTGATGCCAACTAGACAAACACAGATGTATCTGCTGGTGGATACATCGTGCACACCCCTGCACAGCAAGATGTGCCCACACCTGGTTCAAGGCTTTGGCTGAACCAGACTAAACACGAGGGGTGGTACCCGGGCCCATCTCCAAATCTGTTGCATGCTGCAGCCTTCAAGAGCCTCACAAACGTGCCCATCCCCTCAGAATCCCACAGCAGGGGGATACTTTTTCTCCTGCCATCCCACAGAAAATAATCAGGGTGTGGAGAGCCAAAAAATTAAGGCAGGAGGTTCCATCACCTGCTGACCACCAGCTCTGGCTCTCAGTGACTCGTTCAAGGCTGGCCAGGAGGTTTTGTGGCAGAACAAGCACAAAAATTCAGTGCTGTGTTGTGGAACCCTCCCTCTGTGCCTGTTCCACACCAGGGCACAGCTCCCCGAGGGGCAGGAGGGTCCTGGCACCATGCCCAGCTTGGTGTGACCCTTCTGGGCACCCCTCACCCAGCAGCCACACTCAGGGTCCCACTCCAAGTCCTCCAATAACCATCCTGGTCAGAGGAAGAGATGTTTCCATCCCACCACCAAAGTACCACGAACCACCTTCCTAGATGCTCTGGGACTCTGCTAATGCACTGTCACACCACTAATCACACAATTTCTGCCTTGATCCACGGGCCAGAGTCTTGGCTGGAATAAATCAGAGATGCTGAAGGGAAGGGATTGCACAGGCACCAGAGGCAATGGCAAAAGGATAAAGTTGAAGCACTGGCTCAGGTTGCCCAGAGAAGCTGTGGCTGCCCCATCCCTGGAAATCTCCAAGGCCAGGGATGCATCCCCATGGCAGGGAGTGGAATGAGATTATCTTTAAGGTCCTTTCCAACTTTGTGACCTCTTTGACCAGTTTCACAAGGGCTGCAGGAAAGCTCTCTAGAGTTAGGCTAATCTAAAATTTGCAGGAAAATGGGAACATTTTCCTGCCTGGCACTTCAGTAATTCACCCACCCTGATTTCTGCATCTCAGGGTTAAACAGATGTGTTTGGGGCTCAGCACCACACATGAAGTCCTTCACCTGCCCCAGGCTGGGATTCCTGGTCCTTCCCACTGGGTGGGATGTTGCAATAAACCACACACGTGTCCACAAGCTGGTAAAATAAATGAAAACCAAATCCAAGAGGCCCTCAGGGAAGAGGAGCAGTGCTCAGCTTCCAACTTTCTCTCCAAACACTGAGACCCTCAATTCCATCCTCCAAAACACACACCAACCCTGGCAAAAGCATCAGACACTGCTGCTGCTCCCGTTCATTAACATGTCTCTTATCAGAGGAAACTTTAACAGAAACAATTCCGAGTATTTTCAGTGGTTTAAAAGTTGCAATCACATTCAGGAAGGATTTATAAGCACCCTATGATCTGCCCAGGGATCCCAGGTCTAATCTGTATAACCTGTGTGGAAAACAAACATTCCATTGGCAAAGGGCCTGTGCTCGGTGCTCAGGATCCTCAGGGAGCTGAGACCCAGCTGAGCAACTCCAAGATAATCCAGGATTCTTATCCCAGGGAGCTGCTAGTGAGACTTCAGCTTATTTAATAAACGAGAGAATAGAAGGAGCGTGAATTAAAACAAAGTAACTCCACTGGGCTGGACAGCAGACAAACATGTTTCACTTGTTTGTCCACTTTTTCATTGACTGCTAGAAAAATGAGTTTAAAACTCATTGAAAAATGATTTATTTTTTCCCAATGGAAAAATTATTTTTGCCTGAAAAAATATTTTTAATAGAAGTTGAGGGAAACTGTATAAGTCAGTTTTACTTAACACTACAATTTATAAGCAGGGATGGGTGAAACTGTAAATAGAATCCAAATAAGACTTGGAGCAAGAGCATAGAGTTAAAAAATGCTGGGTCAGCACGAGTCAGGCGCATTTCCAGTATATTTTTTATTTTTTTTGAGAGTGCATGAAGAGGAAAGTGTGGGAGAGTGAAACTGGGAGTGCTGGGGAGAGGCACAGAAACTACTGCCAGGAGGAAGCAGTGGAGAAGGTGGTGGTGATGGTTTGGGCTTCAGGAACGAAAGAGGGGAAGAGAATGGCTGAAACAGCTACAACCAATAGTGAAGTTGTGAGCAAAGATAATTCAGGGCTGCCCTTGTCCTTCCTACCCAAGAAGCAAACAGAGCTGGGAGCAGCTGGACCAGGAGGGGAGTGATGGGTTTAATGGCACTGTTGGCATCACACAGTCAACATGACCAGCAGCAAATGCAAAAATCCCACGGGAAGACACCACTCAAGGCTCATCTCTCATGAAACACACTTCCCTTTGAAAGCGGGGGTCAGTGAGTTCTCCCCCAGCCAAACAGCCCTCCACAGCCTGGCTGCTCAGGTGGGGTATCCTGGGCAGCCCAAAGTGTCATTGTATTCCATATCTCCTGTGCCCAGAACTTGTGGTCTTGAACCAAGACATGGGGTCATCTCCAGGCCATGTTAAGACCATACCAGAAATGGAACCATCATCTCCTCAGTTACTGCAGCCCCAACATCCAGGCTAAACCCACGATCCAGGAGTGGGGAACAGCTGAGCCCACCCTGGCCAGATCCAACAGCAGCAGCCCTGGGTGATTCAGGCAGGACCACATCATCCCAAAAAGGGACAGGGAGGGGAAGGGAAGGGGTTATGCTGACCAGCACCCCCAAGCCTGCAGGGAGCTTGTGTGTCAGACTGAGCAGAGTCCAAGCAGGTTTGTGTGGGTGGGAATTAGTGGTGGAAGACATCCTGCAGTGGAAGTGAGATCTGTCTGAGGCCTTTGGGCTCTGGAAAGCAGCATTAAGGAGGTTGGAGGTGGGAGGGCTCACCCCAGCAGGGCACTGGGTCACAGTCTCTGCCATCCTCCCACTGACTCTGGCAGCCACGGGCTGCCCAGGCAGCAGCAGGAACATTGGATCATTATTGAGGGAGTTCATTTCGTGATACAACAACATTAGTGTAGGCTGCAGAGGTTTTTACATCTGATTAGAAAATGGAAAAATGCAACTGTGCTGCTTGCAGGATCAGCTACAAAGCGTTGGGGATAAATCAAAAAATCAATCAGCTCTGAAGCTGGGAAGGAGCTGCCCACAGTCCCCATGCTGCCCACGGTATTCTCATAATAACACCCATGGAGTCACTCCAGATGAGCTCAGGAGATCAGAGATGCTCACAGACAAGTCTGAACAGAAGAAGGAACAAACAGTCATGGAATACCAGGTGGGAAGGGACCTCAAGGAGCACTTGGTACAACCTTTCTTGTCAAAAGTACGGTCTAGACAAGCCAGCCCAGCTGAACCTTGAAAGTGTCCAACACTGGGGGATGCATCACTTCCCTGGGGAGGTGATTCCAAAAGCTGACTGTTCCCATTATGAAAAGTTTTCCTCTTGTGTCCAGCTGGAACACTCCAGGTGCACCTTGCACCCAAAGGAACCACAGTGCCAAAATTACTGGTGAAGGAAGCAGGTAGGTCCTACAGGGAGCACTCAGGGATGGGCAATCCTGTGCTCCCATCCCAGCCCTGGGCTCAGCATCTCCCTGGGCAGAGGGTGGCAGGAGGTGCAGCCAGCCCTGGAGGGGTGACACTGCTCCTCATCCCCACGGGCAGGGCTGCCAACCATCCCACATCCCTGTCCCCACACCCCATGGACACTTTCCTCCTCCCAAGGACCATGTGGGCCCCAGTATCCTTCAATCCCTTCCTCTGACCCCTCCAGCTGCAGAGGCCACAGAGCAGCTCCTGGGGAGGGTTTCACCCTCCCCACTCCTGCTGCTGCTGCAGCACCCCTCACTCCCCCCTGAGCCGAGCCTGAAGATGGAGAGGGGAGGAGTATTTGATGGCTGGGCAGTTTCCCAGTGCTTGTTCCCTCCTATTCCTGGAGGAGGGGGTCTCCACCTGAGGCTGATGCACATTCTCAGTCCTCAGGGAGGAAGGCCCTTCTCCCAGGACATCTGCAGCAGCATGGCAAGACTTTGGGCAGGTGGAGATGTCACCTCTCACTGCTGGCCAGGCTTTTCTGTTCTTCAACCCCTTTTATAACCCTCCTCCAAACTTCATCCCTATTTCCAACGTCCCTCTCAGCCAGTGGATTTTTCCAGCACGGGGGGTTCATCCCAATGAACTTTTGATGTCTGAAAGTCAGATCTCTGCTGCCCATCATCTTCACCCCAGGTAGGGAGGGGCTCACAGAAGGATGCTGATACCACCTGACAATTATGCATCAAAAGTGGTGGATCATTTTCTGGAGGTTCTTCTTGCCCAGGGAGAAGATGGTCAGTCCATGGGCACCTGCCTGGCAGAGCTGCTCTCAGAAACTGCTGGGGCTTGGAGAAGTTAAACCACAACAAGGGGCTACAGGACTTTTCCAATTTACATCAACACACAGCTCTTCCTGTGCTGTTCCAAAAGGTTTTGGTTGGTGAAAAGGCAAAATGAACCTCTTCAATGAGCCTGTCTTGCAGTAATTAGGAGAGACTGTTTAAGGTAGAAGGGAGGTCAGGCTTGGTCTGTCAGAAGTTTTTAGGAAAGGCATTTATGCCAGAGCCCAGCTGAGCTGGACTTCCCCCAACATCTGCTCCAGCCCAACCTTTGGATGTACCTTGGATCCTGAGATGGGGATTAACACAAACACAATCACATGGGAAAGCCCAAACAGGCGCCTTCATTTCCACCACAGCAGCTCCAAGGTGTGGTAACATCTCTCCCAGAAGGGAGACTCTCTCCTTCCTCCTCCTCCCCTTCCCATCAGGTGGATCTGCTGCTCTGCCTGGGGACTGGTCCCGTGGCCCCAGCTTGGGTGTCAACTGCTGTGAAGGGTTAACAGGATTATGAATCTCCCTGCCTGCCTAAATCCCCTGGGCTGTGGGATTGGACTGGTCATAAACTTATTAACAGGGGCTGGTGGGGGCTGCAGGACCTGCTCTGCCGGCCTGGCCCCCCCCGTCCACCTCACATCACTGGGAGAAAACCTGAGAACCACAGCAGGAAATTCACCCACGTGAATCCATTAAAATAGAGATGGAAAGAGAGAGGTGAGGGAAATGGCTGGGTACGGAAAGATGAGAAATTCACATATTTTTGGGAAAGATTTCAGAACATGTTGCTGAACTGGAAGTGCAGCTCTTGGGAAGAGCTTTGACCCATCCTTGAGCTGCAAGCACCCCCATGCTCTAATCCAGACCCCAAGCCATAAACTGGCAGCAAGAATAATTCCAAGAGGATTGGTGGAAGTGCCAGGTCAGTCTTGCACCCGGCCACGCCTGGAGAGGAGCCGGCAGCGGATCCAAACCCCTCGGAGCACACAGAGCATGATCTGACCACGGACCTGCCCGGCTCCGATGGTGCCTTCAGGGCTCTTTTATTTCCTACCGGCTCTGGCAAAGCTCCTGCACAGAAGCCACCACTGCAAAAAAACTCGCTTAGAGCTTCCAGCAGCCGCTGTCCAGGAGAGCCCCGCGGGGTCACGGCGGCATCGCCACCGGGAGGAACCGGGGATGAGCCACGGCAGTCACCGCCCCCCGCCCCGATACTGCCGGGTGAGGTTCTGCTGACGGCTCGCGTTTATTTATCAAATTCCTATTTCAAACTCCAAAATTAATCTTTTAATCAGCGGCAGAGCGGGGTCATCCTTATCGGAGTGCCGGGGAGGTGTTATCTCCCCGCCATCTGCTCGCCATCCTCCGCCGCGTCCCAACGGAGCCGGTGACAGCCGGACACCAGCCAGCACATCTGGCAGCCGCCACATGTGGGGGACCCCTGACCACCCCCTCCTTCAACACCAAACACAACCCAGAGGACAAAGCTGAGGGAGCTGCAAATTCGACCCAAAATTCCAGCATACCAGCAGATTTGTGTGGTAGAAAATGGGGTTTGAGAATTTTTGCCTCGCAGGGGCAGGGCACCAGGACTTGGCAGCCCCGTGGAGCCAAGGATGCCCAGGGGTCCCCAATGAGCTGATGGGGCTGCTGCCATCCACTCCCCACGGCCCCACAGCATCAGCACCCAGCCGGCAGCTCTGCCCCAAACACAGCCACGGGTCACGCCTGTCCTGCACCACCTCCCTGCCACCGGTTCTGCCTTTTCTGCACCCAAAAGCAGCAGAGCAGCATCCACGCAGCGACTCAAGCCACCGTGTGGGTCGCAGTGACCCCGGGGTGCTGCCCTCGCCACCCTGCCAGCCCCCCCAGCCCCAATGACCTACTTCAGCCGGAGATGGAGCATGGCCCAGCACGGCAGGATCGCGGCCCCGGCTGCCTTCAGCGTGCCCTCGCCTCCCGGTCTCGCCTGGGGAGAAGCCCAGGTGTGGCCAGCCCGGGAAAGCCTCGGCCAAACCTCGGGGTGGTCCGGAACCCCGGCGGGGCCCAGGCCGGCTCTGGCTCCGGCCCACTGACCCCCAGCTAATCGGCTAAAGCCGCACGCTCTGAACCCTGGCCCCGGGCACAGCCGCGCTCCCGCCGGCTCTCTCTGCCCTACATAGACATCACCTTCTGTCACCTCCTGTCACCTCCCGTCCCCTCCCCGCACCCACCCCGCTCCCCGGGCACCGGCAAGGAGGGGACAAGGTCCCTTTGGGGAGGTTTTGCCAATGGGGAGAGCCCAGCACTGCAGCAGGAGCACACACAGCTGCTCTCAGAGGCTGCAGGTGCTTCCCCAGTTGCTGCCTGGAAAATAAATCCCCTTTCGCAGCCCTGGCTGATAAATACCGGCCTCACCTGCGCGTGGCCCCTGCAGGTGCCGTGGGACCCGTATCAGACCCTACCCCAGCAGAGGGGCCACCAAAATGACCCAAATTGAACCTCGCCAAAAGCCACAGGACACAAAAATCACGGAACACATCCTCCCTGACGCCACCCCTGGAGAACGCATCCAATGCTCCGAGGGATGCCCGATCCCGTTCCCGGTGTGGCACCATCCCGCCCCGCTCACCAGTAGATGAGGGAGAGCCCATCGAAGCGCTCCAGGGGCCGGCCAGGGGGCTGCAGGTAGGACATCATCCGGCCCCACCGAGCCCTCAGGGCTGCCCCGGCCGGCTCCTGCTGGCCCGGGCCATGGGCTCCGAGTGCCGGCGGCTGGCGGGGCTGCCCGGCACGGCTCCCTGGCACGGCTCCCCGCCGCAGCGGCTGCACCTAATCCCGGGCGGGCGAGCATGTGATCGCCCCTCTGCCGGCCCCCCAGATAAACCCTGCGGGGCTGGGACCCGCCTGCGCCTGCTTCCAACCAGCAGGGCTGAGCCACACCGGGGCTGGGAGCCACGGCGGCCACGGGACCCCCACGGCAGCCAGCGAAGTGTCCCATCACCCGGGTGCCACCGTGCCACTGTCCCGATCCACCACGGCCCTGGTCCAATAAAGCAAACATTTATTTTGGCACAAGGATCCCTTCAGCCCCCTACCAGCGAGCCCCTCCTTCCCCCTGCACTTGCAGTGGCTGCTAATAATGGTTATAATCATTAATGATGGTTATAATCCATGGTTAACCTCCCACCACAAATTATTTAAAAGCAATTGTAGGTGTCTTTGACCTGCATTAAGCCTGGGCTGTGGAAGCACTCAGGCTTCCCTCCCCCCTGGCCACTGCAGGATAGTATTCTATATATTATATATATATATATATATATAAAATTTACTATGGGGAACAAGTCTTGCATTTGGGTATTTTTCACCACTGTTTAAGGTTTTCTGATCCTACCCCAGCAACCAAACTATCCTTTAGACTATTAGCAAATCCCTAGGAGTGAGTGCTGGTGGGCAGACAGAAACTGTTTGAAGTGGAGCATTATCCTGGAATGGGAATTATTCCAGAGCAAGGAGGCCACAGCCAGCCCAGCCGTGTTTGTTCATGTCCAGCTGTGGGTGGGATGGATGGACAGCAGGATGGACAGACAGGCCCTGATTCGGGGTGATGGAAAAGTTCCAGATGAGTATCGACCCACTGCATTTTGTGTATTTAATTTCTCCCTTTTTCCATCAGTTATGATCCCAGGGCAGCAGCCAGGGGTAGCCGGGACCTGGGGATTATGAAATGAATCTGTCTGTGTCTGCCACCGGCCTCACCAGGGCCAGTCCTGTGCCCATCGCTCCTCCCAGCTCCAGGTAATGCAGGGACATGAAATCATGGAATATCCTGAGTGGGAAGCGTCCATTGGGATCTTCCAGTCCAGCTCAGACACCCCAACAATCTCACCCTGTTCATCCCTGGTGCCCAAACAGTCCTGGAGCTCTGGCAGCCTCGGGGCCATGCCCATTCCCTGGGGAGCCTGGGCAGTGCCCAGCACCCTCTGGGGAAGAACCTTTCCTTGTTTTCCACCTTAACCTTCCCTTGGCCCGTTTCTTGTCATTGCTTCAGGATGGGACACTTGGGGACCAGCTGATGAAAGCACTGAGCAGCAGAGGCGAGTGTGACCTGTCCCACATCTGGGGCATCGTGCAGTGCTGGGCCTGGCAGGGCTGGGACCTCAGTGGTGACTGGTGGCATCTCCAGCCGAAGCACCCGTGTGACAGGAATCAGGACACCTGGACCCCTGGGGTGAGAGCAGCCGCCCCAGCCCTGTCACCCAGGCTGTGACGAAGAGCAGGGAGGGCCGGGCTGTGCCCGGGGTGCTGCCCGGGGGCGCTGCTGCTGGGACAGGCGGGGAATTAAGGCTGATCCCGCTCGGCATCCTTTGCGAGTGACTGTGCAGGATGTGCCGGTGCCAAAATCCTTTTCACCTGTCGCCTCCCAGTCCGGTGACAGGTCCCCTGAGGAGCCACAGTCCTCCGCCCAGGACAGCCGCCACCACCTTGTCCCGATCCCCTCTTGTGCGCGTCTCTGCTTTAGGGGCCGGCCCTGCAGGGCACCCAGCCCAGGACCCCCATCCATAGGGGCACCCCGTGACGCTTTTGGGGTGCGTTTGGGGTGCGCGCCCTCCCCAGCGCAGCCATGCCGAGGGGGGCTGGTGCGGGGAGAGCCGCCCGCTCGCAGCGCTGTCGCAACGCGGGCCGGGCGGTGCTGGGTGTGAGTCCCGGGACTGGTTTGTGCCGCCGGGAGAGGACGGGCACTGGGTTTGCCGAAACCGCGGGGAGCGGGCGGGCGCGGGGTGCCGGGCCGGCCTCTCCCAGTCTCACCAGTCGGGATTGTCTAAGGCAGTGTCACCCCGCTCTGGGGCAGGACAGCACCCGGTAGCCGCGGGGACGGCGGGGCCACCCTGAGCCTGCCTTGCTGCCGCTGGTGCAGCTCTGCTGAGGCACCCGGGGCGCTGGGACATCATTTCCACCATTTCCATCATTTCCACCATTTCCATCACTTCCACCGCCCTCCCTGCAGCTGCCGGGAGCCCCATGGATGTGTCCCCCTGTGTCCCACAGCCCTGGGGGTCACAGCATCCCCCGAGGCGGGCTCTGGGCTGAATCACAGCGACGTGCTGCGGGGCCAGGCGCTGCCTTGCCCTTTCCCCCCGCGAGTTTCCGCGCTGGCGGAAGCGGGGCATTATCTCCCTCGCCCATCTCAGGCAGCTGCCCCCGGGTGCGCTCCAGCTGCATATTAATAGAGATGCAAACATTACACCCCGGAAATTCCCTGTCTTTACATCACAGGCCAAAGCCTGCGCTGAAGCCCTGACCTTTTTCTTGCTCTCGATGTGTTCTGGGCCACTGTGACAGAGTGGTCCCAGCCATGGGATGTCCTAGCCAGGAGCAGCGCTCCTGCACGGGTGCTCAGGGCTGCAGCACCGTGCCACTGAGGGGCACAGGGACACAGAGGAGCTGTGGATGCCCCTGGAAATGTTCAGGGCCAGGTTGGATGGGGCTTGTGGAAGATGTCTCTGCCTTGACAGAGGAGGACTAGATGAACTTGAAGTCCCTTCCAGCCCAAACCACGCTGTGACAATTCTATGATGATTATGATGATGATGACGACACCTGTGTGTCCCCACTGAGGGTCTGGGACCCAACTTCTTCATGAGACAGGAGAATAAGGACCAAGAGAAGCTGCTGCTGTCTCGGATGCACATCCTGATCTTAACATCCAGCCCAGCTGTACATTGTTCAGTGCCATTCCAAAAGACATGGCTGGGGACACAGGACAGGGACTTGCCAGGGTGGGTGTGTCCCGCCGGTTGCCCCTCTCCCCCTTCCCCCCTCAGTTTGGTGCAGATGTCCCCATGCCTGTCCCCAAAGCCACCCCAGAGCCGGTGACGACGCAGCTCTCCTGCTCCGTACCGTGCCGGGAGGATGAGGAAGAGCCAAACTTAATTTATTCCGTGCTGCATTTTCATGCCAAATGAGTCAGAGCACCGGCCTCTCTCAGCCTTTGTTTTGCTTGGCTGCCTGCACCCGCTTTCGCTTGGTGTTTGTTCAATATGAAGTCCCTTGATGGCACTTGTGCTCAAACCAGCAACTGCAGCAGAAAAAGCCACTTCCCTGCCGGGACAGGAGCTTTCCCATCCTTCGGCATCAGGAGCGATGCACTTGTTTTATTCTACTTATTCCCTACAGTTTGAGGAACCCTGAGCTTGGTCCTTTGAGCCACCACATCCCACCAGAGCCATCTAAAGCCATGGAGGCTGGCGGGGGCTGCAGGATGGGGCCGGGGTAGCCACGCTGGCTGCTGATTCCAGAGCAAAAGCAGCCCCAAACGGAGCTGGGGGAGGTTTCGCCCGGCTCAGGACCAGTTAGGAACGAGCACGGCCGCATTCCTGCGCACGTGGGAGCCGCCAGGAGGAAGCGGCAGCACGGAGGTGTTTCAGTGCCCTGCTTTCCTGCCGTGCGAGCAGGAACTCCCTTCCCACCCCAAACCCCTGCCACGGGGGCCAGCAGCTCAGCTGGGCCCTTCAGGGGCTGTCAAAAAGTCCCCACCCAGAAAATAAATGAGATTTTGACTCATCTACTGCTGTTTGTGTTCCTTCGAGTTTTTGGAAGAGATTTCCAAGTTGTTTTGCCTCAACCCCCCCTCCATCAGAAGTCAAATCCAAAAATTCTTCATTGAGGAACATTGCTGAGCAGCTGCCAGGGCTGATCCTCTCCATGCCTGGCTCCTCTGCTCTGATGGGTCCCCCAAACCCCTCGGCACTGCCACGGTGCCTTTTGGGGCTCGTGGGGAAGGGGATGCCACCACCCCGCTGCTGGCTTGACCCACCCAACCCTGGTGCCGTCCCGAATTACAATGGGCTGTGTGGGGTGGGATGGCCAAGCCCACGGCTCAGGTGTCAGCAGGGAATGAGACCCCTGGAGCCCATCCTGCCCATCCTGCCCATCCTGCTCCCTCGGCAGTGGGGTCAGCCTCGGCCGGGCCGCTGGGGCTGGCACAGGGTGGAGCAGGGCTTGGGATGCCAGAGAAGGGCTTGCCAGGAAAATGTCATCTCGTTGCATAAAACGTGATCCTCTCCCGCTCCCCTCCCGCAGCAGCAGCAGCTCAAGAGCTTCTTACCCAGGTTAAGTCAATATTGCCACATTGCTGCCTCTGTCGAGGCGCTCGGTGGCCCCGTGGAAGGAGCTCCGTGGGTGTTTTAAGGGCTGGGAAGGAGCCAAGGGAACACATCTGGCTGGGTGCAGCACACTGCATCCTCCCACTAGCTCCTGCTGCCCCACAGGGGCCCCACACCTGCTCCTCACAGGGCACGGAGGGCTCTTGGCTGGCAGGACAGCCCCGCTTCTCCGTGCTCAGGAGGCTCCAAGGAGCCGCTGGCACCGGGGCTGATAGCGGCACGGGATGCAACGGGAGGGCACGGAGCACAGCAGGGACCAGCTGCATCGGTAAAGCCACCAAAAGGCTCATTTGCAAAATAAATGTTGCAAAACCAACCCTGGCAGAGCCCAGCCGAGGAGGGAACCTCAGCACGGGGCGTGTGGTGCTTTGGGCAGGCACCAGAGCCTGAACAAAAGCTGCCAGCACCCCCAAACCACAGGCCCCCAGGTCCCCAAAACCACCCTGTATACGGAGGCTTTGTGCAGTGCCTCTGATCCCAAGCCAAGGTAAAGGCAGGATACCTGGGCAGTTTACATAAGACAGAGTTTTCCAC